CTTCTTTTGACTCTGCTGATAATACCTATATTTGTTATTTCTTTTTCTTATTTGATTTTTTTATTTTAACAAACAAATTGTCCAACTTTTAACATATATCTTCTTCTTTGATTTTCTGCATAAACTAATTTATATTGATTACTAATATAAATGATAGCTAATACTGTATCACTCCCTGGTTTTAATAAAAATATTAAATTTTGGTATATTAATATATTCACTTTTTTCCATTCGTTTTCCCCTTCATTTCTTGATTCTCCATTCCCTAAATTTTCTCCTTTACTTACTATATTTACATATAACCGTTCTCCTAACATTTTCTTTGCTAATTCTTCTACTATTTCACTTTTATTAAAAAATGTTTCCATCATATCAATACTTCTTATCCTTTTTTCATACCTTTCTTTTCCTTTTTCTATTGCTTTCTCCATTTCTCTTATATGCATATCTTGCTGAACTTTTGAGATTTTCATTAAATCCTTTTTATCTTTTTGAAACACTTCTGTTAATTCAATTCTTCTTCTCATTTGTTGAATCATCATTTGAAAATTTATCATCTCTCTTATTACTTTAAGTGTTTCTACATCGTCTGTCTTTATTGATAATTTTTCTTTAATTTTTTCTTTATACCTTTTCATTTCTTCAATCACCCCAATTCTTCTCATAGATCCTTTCCCTCCACTAAGATGTCCACAACTCTTAGTAATCATAATAACAAATCTTAGTCCTTTTTCTTTTTATAACTATTCTATTTTTACTTTTCCTATTTCGAGTTTATTCCCCCTTCTTTTTTTAACTTATATTTTGTTTTTAATGATACAAACCAAAGGCAAAATGAACTGTATAGTTGTCTGAAAACTCCTTTATAGTAGAAATTTTCTATTCTGAGTCTGGTTAATAAAAATAGGAATATTTGATAGTAAAAAAAATGAAAGCTATAGTTTCAATAATAGTAGAAAAAAAAAGAATTTCGGAATCTCGAAAATCCTTAAGTAATGTTTCTTTTCTTATTACTCACAACATCTCTTGGATTTCGTTTCCAAAACATTCGTTTTAGAGGAGAAATGGATAGAAGCGACGTTATAGAACATGTTTCAACACAACCAATTGACCATTTTGATTTAACCAATAAAAAGACAATAAACATTCGATATTTTATTAACGACACTATATATAGTAAAGAAGCACCACTTTTGGTTGACCTTGGAGGAGAAGGAACACAAAGGGCAGCTGCTGTTGGAGGAAGATTTGTTATTAATAAATATGCCGAAAAATATAATTCATTAATGCTTGCAATTGAACATAGATTTTATGGTAAATCTGTTCCAGAAGGAGGATTGTCACAAGAAAATCTTGGATATCTTAGTGCAGCTCAAGCCTTAGAAGATTATATTATGATTATTAATCAAATTAAAAAAGAATATCAAATCACTGGTCCTGTTATAGTTTTTGGTGGATCATATAGTGGAAACCTTGCTACGTGGATTAGACAAAAATATCCAAATGTAGTTTATGCAGCCGTTGCTTCATCTGCACCAGTTTATGCCACATCTACTTTTTATGAATTTTTAGATGTTATTTACAATGATATGGGTGAAAAATGTGGTAATGCTTGGAAAGAAGCTACTGATAGTATTGAAGAACTTTTCAAAACTGACTCTGGTAAAGCACAACTTAAGAATGATTTTAAAACATGTACTGAAATTAAAGAAGAAGATGACCTTACTATTCTTATTCAACAAATCCAAGCAACAATGGTAAATTATCCACAATATAATGGAAGTTATTCATTAACTATTGAAGGTGTTTGTAATATATTAACTACTGAAGGAAAAACAGCATATGAGAATATGGTTGACTTAATGAGTCATGCATTTAATGAATTTGGATTTGAATGTGCACCATCAAGTTATGCTGACATGCTTACAGATATGGCAAATACTAAAACAGAAGAAGAAGGAAATAGACTTGCATCAACAAGAAGTTGGGCATGGCAAATCTGTAGTGAATACAGTTATTTCCAACCAGTTAATGAAAGTCTTCCATTTTCAAAGAGACTTAATAATGAATTTTATTATCTTCTTTGTAAAGACATTTTCAATGTAGATAAACAACGTTTAGATAGAAGAGTTTATCATACTAATTTAATGTACGGTGGTTATAAACCAAAAGCCACTAATGTAGCTTATACTTCTGGTTCAACTGATCCATGGAGTCCATTGGCTAAACATGAAACTCTTCCTTCAGATATTAATTGTTATGCTTCTTATATCAAAGGTACTGCCCATTGTGCTGATCTTTATGCTGAGAAAGATACTGACCCAGAACAATTAAAACAACAAAGAATGGAAACTGCACAATTCATTGATGAGTTAATTTCAAGATATAATAATTAAATTTAATTCATTAATTATTCCCTTTTATATTTTGTTATTCTACGTTTTATTTTTCATATATTTCTTTTTGTTATTTAGTAATTTGTGTTATTAAACAAAATTTTAATAACATTTTTTTTATATTTAAGTAAAACAAAAATAAAAAATATTTATTGTTTTTCTTTCTTATTTAATATGCTTTTATTTATTCTAAGTTTATATTAATTTCTTTATTTATCTACTCAAAAGGAAAATAACTTCTCTTTATTAAACTATTTAACAATAACGTTTATTTTTTTATCATCTATTTTAATTTTACACTTTTTAAAATATGAGATTGAAATAGAATTTAGGTATATAGAAAAACTTGTAATATTTTATTTTTCTTGAAATTATCTTTATTTTTTTGATAATAACTATGATAAGTAGTGAACAGATAAAAGTATTATGACTTTAATTAAAATTTCATTTTGAATGATATTAGAAGTAATACAAAACTGAGTGTTTAATGGTTGTTGGTTCTTTAATTTATGTTAATTAATAAAATTTTGTAAATATAATAAAAACCAAAAATTGACTCAAACAATTAAAAGTATTGAAATAATGTTTCATTAGTTAATATTTTAAATAATGTTTAATTATAACTATAAAAAAAGTATTTATTTACTTATTAATTATAAATACATTTCAAATAAAACTATTAAAGAAACATGAATATAAGATGATTTAATTATGAAATAAAGATCCTTTTTAAATTTAATATCTTTTTTATTTTAAAGACTCCTCTTTAATAAGTTATATATTACCATTTACATCTTTATTGTTAAAAATTTGTCATCAAAATAAATTTAAATATCTTTGGAAAATTAATAAAAATAAAACAGAAGCTTAGTGTCTAAGGTATTTTTAATTAATAATTAAACTTTTTTGAATAAAATTAATATTTTATTATTTTATTATTTTATGTAATATTTATTCTAACTTCCAGTAAAAAAAAAGAATTTTTGCTTATAATTTTAATTAGAAACCCTTTTCCAACATTAATCTGAAATAACAAGGAAATGACTCTTTTACTATCCCAAAATGATAAAACACAAAGTAGAATTTCACAATAAATAGAAGAGTTTCAAACTAAAAAACATCCAAAATTACATGACTGAGGAAAAAGAGAAGATTGAAGTTACTGAAGAAAAGAAAGAAGAAGTTGAAAAGAAGCCAAAGAAACAACAAAAACAAGAAAAAAAAGAAGCTAAGAAAGCTAAAAAAGAAGCCAAAAAGCAAGCAAAAGGTGAAGAAAAAATTGTTGGAGTAGTTGAAAAAGCAGATAAAAAGAAAGAGAAATTAGAAAAAAAGAAAGCCAAAAGTGATAAGAAGGCAGATAAAAAGATTGAAAAAATAGTCAAAGAAGAAAAGAAAGATGAAGAAGAAAAAAAACCAGCCAAATGTGAAAATTGTGATGAATGTTGTGGTAAATGTGAAAAAAAAGCTAAGAAAGAGGCTAAAAAGGCTCAAAAAAAATCAAAAAAAGAAGAAAAAAAAGCTAAGAAAGAGGCTAGAAAGGCTGAAATAAAAGCTAAAGCCCAAGAGGTTAAAAAGAAAGCCATTGTGATGACTGCCAAAGATTTAGAAAACGAAGAAATTAGTTCTGAAGAAAAGTCAGAGGAACATCAAGATTAATTTAATCATTCTTTCATTAGAACCTATGAAGAATAAATTAAAAAAAGATAAATTTTTTTTTTGATTATTTTAACTCAGATAAAAGCTCTTGTGTAAGTTTTGGCATTGCACTATCCTGAGTACATACATAACTAGCAACTTTACTTGCTAATTTTTGTGCCTGTTCAATACTCTTTCCTTTAAGAATTGAACCAACAAAAATAGCAGTAAAAGAATCTCCAGCACCAACAGTATTTACAACATTTACTTTTGTTGGCTCACAAAATATTTCATTAGTACCGTCATAAACATAACTTCCTTTTTCACCTAGTGTAAGTAATGAATACTTTAAATGATACTGATGATGAATTTGTTTTAATATTTCTAAGTCATTCCCCTGAAATCCACAAGCTTTACCTACTTCTTGAATTTCTTCATCACTCATTTTAACAATATTTGATAATGATAAACTCTCTTGAATTATATCATCGTTATAAAAATGTTGTCTTAAATTAACATCAAAGACTTTGAACGAATTTGGTTTCATTAATTTTAAAAACTGAATAATGGACTTTCTTGTTTCTTCACTTCTTTGTGCAATAGTTCCAAAACAAACTGCGTCTAATTCTTTTGCCTTTTCAATGATAGAGTCTGTTAATTTCAAATGATCCCAAGCAACATTTAGTTTAACGTTATATGATGGAATCCCATTGTGAAGAGTGATAATTACAGTACTTGTTTCATAATCTACAACTGGGTCAATTGTTTGAACCCCAAATGAGTGAATTATTTCTAGTGAACGTTTACCTAATTCATCATTTCCAACAGCAATGAAAGCATATGACTCAAAGCCAAATTGTGCCATGTGCATAGCAAAATTACATGGTGCTCCTCCTTGTTTTTTAACATCTCCAAAACAATCCCAAACAACCTCACCAATACCTGCTACTTTAATTTTTTTATGGTTCATTTCTGTTTATTTAAAAAAAGTTTCAGTTCTCTTTTTGATTAATTTAAAAATTAATTAAACTCTTGTTAACAACTATTCTAATAATCTTCATAATACTCATTGTATTGGTTTTCTAATGCTTCATTATATTCTCCATTAGTTTCAAAATTAATTCCATTACAAGTAGTATTTGATGGAATTGGTAATAATGCCTGAAGAAGTCCAATTCCAAAGACTTGTTGAATATTTCTCAATGTACCTAAGTCATATTTATTTTTCCTTCTTGACTCAGAAGAACTTATCCATCCCATTTCTCCTTTTACCTATAAAAATTGATAAGATTGAATCTTGAGATTTAATAACTTAGAAGAAAAGGTTAAAAAAAACAAACGATAAACTCAATAGTTGTATAATTGCAAAGTAAGCCTTTTATTACAACATGGGCTGTAGATGCTATAAGAGTAAGTGCATAAATACCAAGAATACAATGAACCAAATCAAATAATCTAAATACACAATGATAAAATGGATTTCTTAATGGATAAAAAAAAGCATAAATAGCTAATGGAGTATTGATTAAGAGAACGAAAAGTATCATTAATGTAACATAAAAGAGAAGTAACAAAAAGTATTTCTTATTAGCAAATCCAACACAATTTCCTATGTAATTACAATGGTGATCCATTTCTAATATACAGGATTTGCATTTTGAACAATGATGTGCTCGTTC